CAGAGGGTGTGATGGTGTCTCTTTCCACCACAGTTTTTACAGCCCTCTCTTTTACAATTGGTAAGGAAATGGCCAACTGATCCACAGTTAAGGCAACGGATGGTGTTTCGAAAGAATTTACTACGCTCTTCTTTGTATAGTGGTATATTTGGTGCATGCTACAGACTTATGGCTGGGAGCGTTACAAAAAAAGGCATGGCGTACCTACAAGGTCGGTCTTCTGAGGAGGCGCGTTAGCAACTCTTGTTGCATTAACTCTGTTGTGAACGGGGTTTTTGTTTACTATGTAGCTGATACGCTCTTCTGCGGTTATAATTTTGTCTAACTCGGTGAGAATGTCACTTAGAACCTAAGAGTGGTCTTGAATGAAATCATCAATACACCGAACTTTCCTCTTGAGATCTATCTTGAGTTTTAGTAGCACTTTTTGACTTAGATAGGAGCCATCCAAAAATACCCCTTTATCTCTTAATTGGGCTACTATCGGCATCACAGTGTCAAGTAGTAGCCGCTGTTCTTCGAGGCTCAAACTTTCAGCGCGGGCGCGTTCAAGGCGCTGTCGATGAGACGTGACTCATTACCATACTTCTTCCATAAAAAGTCTATGGCTTTATCATAGTTTGCTTCAGTTACGTTGAACCAGCGCACTGATTCTCTTGCTTCCCCTCGCAGCGCAGAAATCAAGAAATTAAATTTGTGACGATTCGTAAGGGGCAGATTATGAACATTTGCTTCAAAGAGCGTCCAGAAACTTTCAAATTCCCGTATCCTGCCACTAAAGGTGGGAATAGGGATGACCGGTAGTTTATGTATCACAGGTTCCACCAACATTTGTTGCGCTCTGAACAGTGAGTTATTGAAACTCCTTACTGGTCCCTCGAAGATCTCCAGTGCGCTTATTCTCTTTGCTTCCAGTTCGATGGCCGTTATCGATGCATTCCTGCGCCCGTTCAATGTAAGCGTTTGCTTGATCGAGTTGCTCCTGCACTAAAGTGTCCGCAAGGGAATCGATCGATCCTGTGAAGTCCGATAGAGCTTCGAAAACGAGTTGAGAAGTAGCACTGAGCTTCAAAACCCATTCCTTGGTTTCGGGTGCTCTCGTCATTGAGACGGGATCTTCTTGACACCGTTTATAGTCCTCATACTGTTTTAGTAATGATTCAATTTTGTTGCAATAGCGCGTAGAAAAATCTTCTTTGAACTTAACCCTCCTGGACCGACCACGATGCAACAAAGAGGTTGTTAATGCACAGAAAGAAAAAAAAATGAGAAATTCTCTAAATCGAAATGTGTCTTAGATTTTTGACTAAAAAGAGTCAAGAAGATGATAGAAGACGAATAGTGGGTCAAAATCCAATAAAATGTGAAAAGAAATGAAGAATTTGCAACTCCTTGGCGCAACTTGATTTTTTCCACTATTGTACAGAAAAAAGAATAAACGGCCTGTTTCCTGTTCGAGTTCAGTTGAATAGGCCGATGCACCATTTACGAGCGGTTCTTTGCCACGCGGTTTATACGACGATGAGTTCCACCAAAATCCGTTGACCACACGTTTATTGGCGCTATGCGCGCAATCCTCAAACTTGGGTAATCAAACCTCGTAATACAATAATAAAATCGACCATTGAGCGAAAGAAACAGTCAGTCACAATATCAACCGTCAGAGGAATGGCGCCAAGTGAGAAGGATGAGAGAATTCTGGGAAGATCAAAGCCTGAATTAGATCCAGTTAAAGAGAAATCCGAAGCGCAAGGCGCACATTGGCGGAGGGAGAAAATGAGCGCACGTCGGTCGCAGTTCCCATGGTTGAAGCTGACGGAGGGATTTAAGGCGGAGTCGCGGGGTTGCATAGAATTCCTCCTGATCTCTCCTATTTATATATATTGTTATTCTAAAATGTATGTATTATTGATAAGCTAGGTTTTGCTTTTCCTTTCTTCAGCCTTTCTCATGGCTTAGCTCATTCCGCTGATCGCGTGGAAACCGCGATACCCGTGATGATGCATTTTATATGTCCGGCAAAAGTATGCATTGGTATTTCGTGCA